AGAATCTAAGGAGTTGCCTCCTCAGAAAGTGAAAGAGGGGCTGCCATCAACCACACCGACTGCACAGGTAGAACATGGGCTCCTCAAGGCCACAGGAAACAGAAGGCGCAGCAGTCTGTGAACCACCTCACCCTTTTCATGATGTGGGAGTGCTATGTGCAACACCATCCAGACCAAATCCCGAATGGGAAAGGGGAGCACTCCCCACATTGAGAGCCTCCCACCGAGGGTCCTCACCACCTCTGGACAGAAATCCGAATGACTGTTGTGGGCCAGTCAGTGTGGAGGGTGTGCAACAGCAGCAGCTAGTACAGGAATCCCCTTCCCGCTGAGCAAAATGGCATGGAGTGAATCTCTGAAATTTCTGAAGAAGGTTCTAGGCCCAAAACGTCAGGTTTCCTGCTCTTCTGATGCTGCTTGGCCTGCTGTGTTCATCCAGCTCTACACCTTGTTATCTCATGTACCCATCCAGAGGCCTTTGAAATGTAATTGTAAGTTTACAGGGTGTAAATTTAATTGTACCCACCACTACCACTTCCTCTGGCAGCTTGTTCCATGCACACATCCCCCTCTGCATGAAAACGTTGCCCGTCAGGCTCCTTTTAAATCTTTCCCATCTCAGTTTAACGTTTTCCTATTCATGTACCTGTCCAAATGTTGTAATTGTAATCACCTCCATTACACCACCCTCTGTGTGAAAATGTTGCCCCGCAGGTCCCTATTAAGTCTTTTCCCTCTCACCTTAAACCTTTGCCCTCTAGTTTTGGGCTCCCTACCCTGGGAAAAAAGACCTTGGCTGGCTTGGATTGCGGAGCCCAGGACCAATGTGAGTTTCATCTGAATGGGGGAAGTCATGGAAAGAACCTTTACCTTGCCACCTGGCAAATTAGTTGGCTGGCGAATCCTTCACACTGTTCCCTGTTTGGAAAAAGCATCAAGATACCCAACAACAGGCTCACTCTCTAAGACTGCTAAACAAGCTGAGAAATATTTTGTTACTTTACATTGGACTTGAAGTAAAGAGTATGTGAATTCAGAAACAACAGCAGCAGGCCTAGCTAATTGGATGTCATAGGAAATGCACATATGGCATTAGCAAAACTTTTGTCAAAGGGATTAACAAACCTCCAGTTTGTTTTGGACAAGCTGGCAGTAATGATTTCAGAATTACCAATTTCCTGGCATGGAACCTATCCACCCCCAACTTTCAAACATGATTTGTCAGCACAAAAATTAGTGTAAAAATTAAATAACCCCACAGTTCACCACACCACCCTCCACTCCAATATAAATAGAAAACAATGTATCTCATAAACAGCTCAAAATTATTTAGGGTTTATTCTTGTGATTCAGAATTTCATTGATCAAATTCTTCCCGGCTCACAATCATTCCATCCTGATTAGATTTGAATCCTGCAGTTAAATGACTCCATGAAATCATTCCCAGGGATTCATCATTTTCTGTTTATAGCATAGAATTCAAGCAATTTTTTGGAAGAGGATTTTAACTGTCACTAAAATCATAAACTTGTTCTCCATTAACTGGTGTGGTATTTTGTTACCAAAAACACAGGCAGTTGATCCTCTCATTGCTGTCTCTACAGACATCCTTAGCTTTAGTCAGTAGCTACAAGCACTGACTGTTCCGAGATGTAAAATATCACTAAGTAAATGTTGATAACACAGTATGGAGCTGGAGGAGCACAGCGGGCCAGGCAACATCAGAGGAACAGGAATGTTGACATTTCAGATCGGGACTCTTCTTCAGAAATCCACACTGTGTTATCTCTGACTCCAGCATCCAGCAGTTCTTACTGTCTCTGACTAAGTAAATGCCCTTTGGTTTAAAGCTATGGTCCAGAGATTAAGTTCTTGTTAATGGGAATAATTAAATTCACTGTTACAACATGCACCAGGCCACGGGTCACGTAGTCAGAGCAGGTGTTCAGGTGAGTGAGGGCACTGCTTTCAAAATCACGCACAAGAAAAGTTCCCAACCCTCTGAGAACACTAAGCACTGAATCTTACAATATTTTGGCCAAGATTAACTTCTGTACAGCTCCAAGGAAAGCTTCTCTCTGTGAGGGCCTAGCGAGTTTTTTTTGCAGTCCCAAACTCTCCACTCTATCCACCCTGCCCCCTTGTACTCACCTTATTAACTATTCACTCTGCCCCTGTGCCACTCACTTTATTAACTATCCACCCTGCCCCCTTGTACTCACCTTATTAACTATTCACCCTGCCCCTGTGCCACTCACCTTATTAACTATCCACCCTGCCCCCTTGTACTCACCTTATCAACTATCTACCCTACCCTGAGACACCCCTCTTGTCCAATGCTAGCTTGATTCTCCCATTTGCTGTAGGCGGAAAATTTCACCATTGCCAGGATATCCTGGAGTGGACTCACATCCCTGGTGCTGATCTTATTGTTAAAAGGCAGCTTTGTGCACCCACTTAAGCATTGTGAGACCTTTATGGGCCATGGCATTTGTCCTCGATCCAGGACAGTAGGGGAAATGAGTGCCAAATTTTGCAAACAGGTAGTCGGAGACCTGATAGATAAAACGGTGCAGAATGGGGTGGTGTATACATCCTTCCAGGTCCGTCAGAGAAGGCTGTGGCACAAGACACTGCCAGCCTGGGCGAGATTGCCACCCGAATCAATGTGGTCTCAGCCATCTGGAGTGTAGGACCTTCTCTGCACTGTGAGGTAAGTACCACCATCTTCTCTCTGCTACCTCAAATTCAAACTCTGCCACTGTACCTAACTCCCACCAAGGCTCGTGCTCTACCGTCCTCTCTACTGCCTGCAACATCGTGACTGACTTGCTCTCACCTATCCAAGCTCCCCATAGCAGTCTGACATTCAACGTTTTAGCTCCAATGAGGAGAAGGTTCTGGCCCTAACTGCTTGAAGCTGTTGCCTGACCATGCCCAAACCCTGGGCTGATATCGGAGGCTGCTTACCGAACTGGAACCTGCAAACTGACAGATATCTCCCTTGTTGTGACTGAGCGCTACTCCTTCCCCAACTTCAAGACACGGCCATTTGTTTGAGCCACGTGCAGTGTGTTTACCAGACTGTTGGCATTGTGCACCAAATGTTGTGATTGCCATAACACTGTGCATGCAGCATTGTGTCCAGCCCTTTGACTGAGGGCCGCTGACAATCGTGACAAGCTGCCTGGCTTTGTGTCAGAGCTAAAATGCAAGGAATGGCAAGGCAGAGCAGGATGGGACAGAGATGCAGTGTGCATTCAAGTAGGTGCTGTGTGAATGGAGGGCAGGTCTTATGAGGAAAGGTTGAGGGAGCTAGGGCTTTTTTCATTAGAGTGAAGAAGGATGAGAGGTGACTTGATCGAGGTTTACAAGATGATGAGACATAGATAGAGTGGATAGTCAGAGACTTTTTCCCAGGGCGGAAATGACTATTATGAGGGGGCATAATTTTAAGGTGATTGGAGGAAGATACAGGGGAGATGTCAGAGGCAGGTTCTTCACACAGAGAGTGGTGGGCATGTGGAATGCGCTGCCGGCAGTGGTATTGGAGTCAGATACTTTAGAGACTTTTAAGCGATTCTTGGATAGGCACATGGACAATAGTAAAATGTAGGATACGCAGGGTAGATTGATCTTAGTAGGATAATAGGTCGGCACAATATCATGGGCCAAAGGGCCTGTACTGTGCTATACTGTTCTATGTTCTATGTTCTAGAACCAGCAAGCAGCACTAAGATGTCCTTCTGAGTACCTGTCTAAACGTGCAGTGTCCCTGCAGCAGCTTTCCAATGAGAGGTGCTAGTGCATTCCAAAGAGCATCATTAAAGTGCAGAACCATGCAGTAGGTGGCCTAAACATGTGCCATAATAGTGCAGATGGTGCTCAGACAAGTTGATAAACCCTTTCAGTTTGGATGTAAAAAATTCCGAGAAGAGTAGGGAAGTTATTTCAGTGCTCTGTCCAACAAAGCAATTCAAAGGCAATTAAGTACTTTTAAAATGTAGCCAATTTAAAATGAGTGAAGATTTGTGCATTCCTATACCCACAAGCACCATTGATTTGTATAGTTAGTTAATCAACTAATATAAATGCTGGGCGGGGCACAAGATAGTACTTCGCTGCTCTTCTTTGAAATCAAACTATTGAATCTTTCATATCCATCCAAGAAGCCCTCAGTTTAACATTCTATACAAAAGACTGCTTTTACAACAGTGCAGCATTCCCTCAGCACTGCAGTAAGAACACCAGCTCTGATTAGCAGAAGAAACTTCTTCAATGATGTACTATCTAGTCTGTCTCTCTTTAAGGGAACCACCAGCAAATTTCTGTGGGCTTTAAATGTAGTTAAAGATATTCTTGAAGTTAGTGACCATAACTTTGTTAGATTTAAATTTGTTAGAGAAAGGCTGATTTTATGGAAATAAGATGTAATTTGTCTCAAATAGACTGGAAGCAACTACTTGCTATTAAAACTTTGTCAGAACACTGGGAGGCATTCAAAGAGGAAATAGTGCGAGAACAGGGCAAAAATGCTCCCACAAAGACAAAGGGTGGGATCAAAAGTAGAGAATCCTGGCTGTGAAGAGACACAAAGGTTAAGAAAAAAAAGAAAATCTTACAGCAGAAATTAAGGCTTAAATTGGCAGTAGTCATAGGGGATTATGAAAAGTGCAGGGAGCAATTTAAAGAAGGAAATTACGAAAGCAAAGACAGCAAATGAGGTAGCTCTAGTAGATAGAATAACAAAAAGCCCAAAGGGTTTTTAAAATATATAAAGACCAAGAGAATAATGAGGGAAGGAGTTGAGGACCTTCAGGACCATAGAGATAATCTGTGTGTTGACACAAAAGACATGGGAATACTGTATATTGGTGATCATAATTGAAAGGGATGATGCGGGCATAGATATCACGTTGGAGGACTGTGAAATATTAGAAGAAATTATCAAAGACAGAGGATGTACTAATGGGTTTACTAATATTAAAAAAAGTAGATAAATGCCACAGTACAATGTATTCCAGCATGTTGAAGGTGGCAAGGGAGGTGATATCAGGCCTCCTAAGAGTTCTGCTCTGGCCGCAGGTTAGTTGCAAGAGGAGTAGAGAATTCATAACATTGTTCCATTGCTGAAAAAAAAGGAGGACATGATAGACCAGGCAATTACAGGCCGACCAGTCTAACCTTGGTAGTTGAGAGGTTATTAGAAAGAATTCTGAGAGACAGAATATATCTGAATTTTGTGAAACACAGATTAATCAGGGAAAGTAAGCATGGATTTGTTCATGGAAAGTGCATTTGACAAATTTGATCAAATAATTTGAGGAGGTAACCAGGAGTGTTGATGAAGGGAAAGCATGTGGTCTGTGTGGGCTTTATTAAGGCTTTTGATAAGGTCCTTCATGGCACACTGGGGAAGAAAGTAGGAGCTCATGGAATCCATGTCAAAGTGGCACATTGGATCCAAACTTGGCTGAGAGGCAGGAAGCAGAGGGTGATGGTAGAGGGATGTTTTGTGACAGGAAGCCTGGTTCCTAGGGTGTCTACAGAGCTCAGTGCTGCGAACCTTGCTATTTGTGGTACTTTAATAATTTGAACTTAAATGTAAAAAGTATGATCAAGAATTTCTTGAATGAAAGTGTGAGGTCATGCACTTGGGGAGGGTTAACAAGCCAAGGGGTCACACTAAGAATGGCAGGTGTACATCCACAGATCCCTGAAGGTAGTAGAGCAGACAGGTAATGTGGTTAAGAAGGCTAATGGGATGGGTATCTTTATTAGCTAAGGCAGAGAACACAAGAGCACATAGATTTTGCTGGAACTCTATAAAGTTCTGGTTAGGTCACAACTGGAATAATCTGTACAGTTCTGATCACTACATTATAGGAGGGATGAGATTGCCCAAGAGAGGGTGCAGGGCGTATTTACTGCATTGCTGCTTGGACTGGAGTCATAGAATCCCTACAGTGCTGAAAGAGGCCAATGTATAAAATTATGAAGGGAATAGATAAGCTTGAAGCAGGGAGGTTGTTTCCACTGGTGGGTGAAACTAGAACAAGAGGGTATAGCCTCAAAATTAAGGGAAGCAGATTAAGGACTGAATTGAGGAGGAACTTCTTCACCCAAAGGGTTGTGAATCTGTGGAATTCCCTGCCCAGTGAAGTGGTTGGGGCTTGCTCATTGAATGTTTTTAAAGCTAAGATAGATAATTTTTGAATAGTAGATGAATTAAGAGTTATGGTGGGAAGGTGGGTAAGTGGAACTGAGGCCATGAAAAGATAGCCATGATCTTATTGAATGGCAGAGCAGGCTTGAAGGGCCAGATGGCCTACTCCTGCTCCTGGTTCTTATGTTCTTGTGTTCTTATGTATGTTCAGCCCATTGAGCCTGCAGCAATGCTCCAAAGAGCAATTTGCTACCTATAAGAGTGAGATACAACAGTTTAAATTGCCCTCTTTCTTAGCCAGAAAAGTCAAATTGCATTGCAGAAACACAAACCTTGATGTTAAAAGGGTCCTTATGCTAGTAAATGTCAAACTTAACTTTCTGCTGTGTGCTTAACTTCTTTAAGAGTGTTAATGCAACAATATCTTCAAATCACAGGTTGCTAGAAGTTGAGTTGCTCTCTTCATAAGAACAGCGCAAGCCATTCTGCTATTTGTGCTAATTCACAAATCTCAGTATAACTGGCACAGTGGCTCAGTGGTTAGCACTGCTGTCTCACAGCACCAGGGACCCAGGTTTGATCCCATCCTCAGGCAACTGTCTGTGTGGAGTTTGCACAAACTCCCTGTGTCAGTGTGGGTTTCCTCTAGCCACTCCGGTTTCCTCGCACAGTCCAAAGATGTGTAGGTTAGGTGGATTGGCCATGCTAAACTGCCCATAGTGTCCAGAGATATGCAGTTTAGGTGGATTAGCCATGGGAAATGCTGGGTTACAGAGATAGGGTACTAGGGACGGGTCTGGGTAGGATGCTGTTCAGAGGGTCGATGTAGACTTGATGGACTGAATGGCCTGCTTCCACATTGTAGGGATTCCATGAACTCCTCCTTACCACAAATTGCTTAGTTACTTAGTCATGAGTTACAATCTGGACATTAAACTTTCCCTTACTTAAGTCAGCAAATTCTGGACCATTTTATCAGAGATAGTGATAGCTGGGGTCAGGACTAATAGAAGTTCTACAGAGGTTGTTTTTGATTTTGGATGTGGTGAGAGTTCAGTGTGTTATCATGTTAATTTATTGTACAGTATTATAAAGTGTGGAAATTTTATGAGTAGGTAGGGATTAAAGCATTAAAGGATAAAGTTTCTCACAGTCATCAATTTCAGCATGGAACTGAATTGGGAATTATAAATTTATTTAAAATTGTCAAAGATTTTTAGCCTTCCTTTGTTACAGTGCATGTGATGTTTACCTATTCATGGTCCACTGAGCTTCTGAAGCTGTCAGAACAGCAGATGTGGTGTAAAAATTAAAAGTTTTTTTTACTGCTTCTTCCTGGTGTATATTAATATTAATTTATAGCTGTATGTAATTTACATGAACTCAATTCTTGTTTTAGTCATATTCAACATTTCATTGTTTACAATTCAAGATTCCAAGAGGCATAGAGTATGGTTCATTCGTTTTCAGTCAGAATGAGAAGGCTCAACCCATAGAGACTTGACGAGACATTACATGCTAACACTCTAGTGCAGTGCCAAAGAGGTGCTACATTGTTAGGGCAGCTGTCTTTCAGATAAGAGATAGTGGGAACTGCTGATGCTGGAGTCTGAGATAACCAGGTGTGGAGCTGGAAGAACACAGCAGGCCAGGCAGCATCAGAGGAGCAGGAAAGCTGACGTCCCCGCCTCCTTGACCTGTCTGTCTTCTCTCCCACCTATCCGCTCCTCCCACCTCAGTGACCAACCCCCACCCCCACTTCCTACCTACACTCAGCTCTACTAGCTTCAACCCCGCCTCCTTGACCTGTCTGTCTTCTCTCCACCTAAGTGCTCCACTATCCACCTTCTATCACCGCCATCCCCCTCTATTTATTTCAGAGCCCCTTTCCCCTCCCCCATTTCTGAAGAAGGGTCCAGACCCGAAATTTCAGCTTTCCTGCTCCTCTAATGCTGCCTGGCCTACTGTGTTCATCCAGCTCTACACCTTGTCTTTCAGATAAGATGTTAAACCAAGGCCTTGTTTGACCTCTCAGGGGTTGTGAAAAAAATCTCATGACACTGTTTTGAAGAAGAGCAGGAAAGCTTTCCCTTGATATCCTAGGCAATATTAATCTCTCAGCTAATATCACAGAAACAGATCATCTACTCGTTATTTCATTGCTGTTTATAGTATTTGGGTACATTTCCTACATTACAATAGTGCCTGCATTTCAGCAGTACTTCACTGGCCATGAAGCACTTCTGTGATTATGAATGGCACTATATAAAGGCAGTTTTACTTTTTTTAATCACAGAAGACATTAAAAAATAAACTACTACATTAAAATTTCAATGCCCCTGGACTACTTCCATCTGTTTGAAACCCATGTAATTCTCAGTTGAGTTAAATATTGTTAGCTCTGTTGATAATAGATTATCTATATTTAAAACAATAATATTCATACATCTTAATTAAAAAATCATAATGGATTCCATCACAATGTTCCCTCTAACAGTCATTACTTACTCTCTGCTGTATCTTTTATTCTGGTCTCTCAAGTATTAAGCAAAACCTAATAAACATATTTGCAAAATATAAGTCTTAGACTTTGTGTTGTGCAATTTGACAGTAAACTCACTCAAGAAACAAGCGTATCTAATCTGTAAAGTAATCATATTAACCTGTGTTTTGCAATGTCACTTGAGTTAGAGCATGTTCAAAAGATTAATGCTTTTACTGATAAGGGAAGGCAGTATTCAGTAGGACTACTTAACTGATGACAAGGTACACTGACAGGCTAAAACTGTTGGTTTTAACATCATGAGTTATGGAGTTTTAATTCTTTTTTGCTGTCTTTGTGTCCCTATAGCGTTTACTGACCTCATTAGACAGACTGACCTGGGCTTGGTTCAAGGGACATTAGAACAATGGGACAACAGAAGCGTGGAATGCTATCTTGGGATCCCTTACGCTGCACCTCCAGTGAATCTCCTCCGATTCCAGCCTCCCCAGCCACATCTTGGATGGAATAACACACTGAATGCAACTGAATTTGGACCCATGTGCCCTCAAGAACTTGATCAAGTAGCTGGTAATGAAGACTGCCTCAAGTTAAATATCTATGTGCCCTATAAAAAGATTCATTCGAGCAAACTGTTGACAGTGATGGTGTGGCTTCATGGAGGAGCCTTTGTCCTTGGCTCTGGAAATTACAAGGCTCATGTGCTGGCTGACTTTGGCCAAGTTATTGTGGTTACAATCAATTATCGTTTAGGGGTGTTTGGGTTTCTTTCCACAGGAGACAATGCAGCAATTGGCAATAGTGGGCTGCGTGACCAACACTTTGCTATATCGTGGATAAAGACCAATATCAGAAATTTTGGTGGTAATCCAGAGGCTATTGTTATATTTGGACAGTCTGCAGGAGGAATTAGTGTTGGATTACAATGTCTGTCACCTCTCAACACAGGGCTTTTTAAACGTGCGATTTTACAGAGTGGGGTTGCTATTGCACCTTGGGCAATAAGGTTGGATGACCCTTCCATGTGGGCAAAGAAACTTGCTTCGATATTATTTTGTCCAGTGAATGATAGTTTGAAGCTGATCAGCTGTCTGCAGGAAAAACAAACAGCGGAGCTCGTGAAAGGTGCGATAAAGTTGCACGACTTTAATTTTTCATTCGGTCCGACAGTGGATGGTGCATTTCTTCCTAAACCACCGCAAGAACTTTCCAGAAACGTTAGCTTAGTCAACCGATTCACCTACATGGCTGGTGTTAACAGTCATGAGGGAAGCTTGGTTTGGCCACAAATAAAGAAGATCGAAACGCAAGCTGATTTTGTTAACTTCATGTCAACATTTCTCCAAGTAGCAGCTGATAAAGTGACAACTGTGTCCGATGCCACATTGTGGGAATACAAAGATTGGAAAGACCTTAACGACAGTTCATTTCACCTTCAGAGGCAAGCACTAGAAGTAGTTGGTGATGCAGGTTTCGTAGCACCACTGGTAAAGACAAGTGAATTCATGGCTAAGGCTACCAAACACGTTTACATTTATTACTTTACCAGACACCCGAACACATCTGTGTCCCCTGAGTGGATAGGAGCAGGGCACGGGGATGAACTTGTGTTTGTATTTGGAGTCCCGACAATGGGAGGACCTCTTGTAGGAAAAGAAGAGCATGATCTGAGTCAACAAATAATGTCCTACTGGACAAATTTTGCTAAAACTGGGTAAGTAGAGAATGCATTTTTTGAGCATTGTTTTAAAAGTCGATGTTAGTATGAATTAAAATCAAAAGAAAAATGACTCCTGATTTAAAATATTTCTCTTGGGGGAGGCAATGGCCTAGTGGTATTATTACTGGACTGTTAATCCAGAGACCCAGATAATGCTCTGGGGACCCAGGTTCAAATCCTGCCATAGCAGACGGTGGAATTTGAATTCAATAAATATCAGGAATTAAGAATCTAATGATGACCATGAATCCATTGTTGATTGTCAGGAAAAACCCATCTAGTTCACTAGTGTCCTTTAGGGAAGGAAACTGCTATCCTTACCTGGTCTGGCCTAGATGTGACTCCAGACCCACAGCAATGTGGTTGACTCTTAACTGCCCTCTATGCAAGTGGGTCACACAGTAAATGCTGCCTGGTCAGCGACACCCTCATCCTGTGAATGAATAAACAAAGGAAATATTTCTCTTACTTTTTGACTTTCCATATCTGATGTCTCCATCAGGTCCAATTTGAGAATGCTCCATGAGTTAGCTTGATGTAAAGCTTTCTTTTTTGGATCTGAGGCATGTAATTTCATTGAAACTTAAAATGTCAAATTTAAAATCATTTGAAGCAAGTCTTTTGAAATTGTTTCTTTGTTTAAAGTTGTAATGATTGTAAATAAAAATAGTGGATGTTACAGATTCATGATTCCTGCTCTTAGTAATGCATGTCACAACTTTTATTTGTAATATTCTACAATTTATTGGGATTGGACACTATCGGCGTGAAATTTTGATAAATTTTTTTCAGGTCAGACTGTGGGTGCTATAAACACCTGAGAACTCTATATTTTGACAAATGTGTTACCCCGTGTGTCTCCCAACTGTCTCTGATCCTAATTGGCAAGCAAACCTTCAATGGTCCTTCACCGATACTTTGGAATCCATCCATAACACCCTTACCTCCAACCCCAACAACTTCTCCACATAGCTTCCTTATAATGAACCTCTTCACCAAGGATTTTAGTCAACTCTACTAGTAATTCTTTCTCTGTTTAAATATGGAATTTTATTTGAACATCTTCTTTGAACAAGAATAGAATGATTTTCCATGTTTTTTCTATTTGTTAAGAAAGTAGAGGTTAGATCTTTTCCTATTCATTTATAAATGCAAAACATGACTCAAGACTTATTGCAGTATTTGAAAGTTGCTAGACTCTGCCAAACTCCTTGTCATTGACATTAGGTTTTCGGGCAGATTCCCCAATGCGCCAAACATTCTGTTGTGCACATCCATCAGCTTTCTTCTGCACATTGGTTCATCATCAAACTCATTTGAGTTCGCTACACTACCTTTGTCCCTGCTCTGGCTGCAGGTCATTCATGCCTTGATGTCTCATCATGTGACGGTCCTGCCTCTATGCTATCTTCTAAATTTTGCATATCATCAGCTTCTGAACTGGTGCATGCAAATATGAACTCAGCCAATGATGTTGTGCCTTCATTAGAACTGTGTTCTTTCTGTTCTTCCATTACCTGGCCAGATTACACTCTTTGGTATCTGAAAGGAGGAAGGCATGGGGCAAGTTTGAGGTTATGGAAAGGGGTAAGTGGGGGATGGTAACAGGTACTACGCCTACACCATCTGTAGTTGCATTTGAGAAAGGCGTGTGTAATGAGGAATGATAAGATACGTGAAGCAGAGTTAACTATGAAAATCAAAAAGAAAAGTTGCCAGAAAAGCTCAGCAGGTCTGGCAGCATCTGTGAAGAAACATCAAAGTTAACATTTTGGGTCCGGTGCCCTTTCTCAGACGCTACCTAACTCTGATTTTTCTTCCCAGATGCTGCCAGACCTACCAAGCTTTTCCAGCAACTTCTCTTTTCGTTCCTGATTTACAGCATCAGCAGTTCTTTCAGTTTTTATTAACAATGAAGATACTGTCAGCTGCAAAGGTGTCAGCCTATTAGCTGGCTAAGATTGGGGCCGTGGATGTCCCATAGGGACTTTTCCATGGGGATAGTAAGGATATGAAGGTCTGCCTGCCTTCTCCAGTTCTCTCCAGCTGTATTCAGTTGTATGCTATCCTGCCCTACAAGAGAAAAACAAGTGTCTCAAGGAGAGATATGAAATCTGGTCAGGTAATGTGATCATCATGTTTAAATATTCAGCATTGTGAGCAAGCTGCAATACATGGGTCTGAGGCTTGCAGTAGCATTAAATGTGTGAAGGTGAGATGGAACATATGAGTGTCTGGTAGGAGATGAGAATGGGATTTGAGCGGTGGCTGAAATTAGTGTGCAGTTGGTAGGAGTTGGCATTAGAAGATGGACGATCCCTGCACCTGTTTTGGGAGTTCTTTTTCTGTTTTCCCTAAACCCCACCAGACCATTCCTTGCTCTTTTTATACAGGTTCAAGATTCAAGATTCCCTGTCGAGTCTGTGCAAAGGTGTAAAGACAACAAATACCCATTGACATTCAGAGCAAGAAAAAACATATTATTTCAACTCATTGAGTGGACCTCTATTTTTTGCACTTTTAAGGTGCATGCATAAAAATAACTACTAGATAAGATGCAACATGTAAATGGGAAATAACTACCACAATAGTATTCATATATGCCAAGCAGTGAGTAAACTAATCTGTTTATTCTCATTTATAGAAATCCCAATTTTCCCATGAATGTCCCAGTTACTTGGCCAAAATATAACAAGAGAACATCACAGTATCTACAACTGGACGTCAATTTGTCAAACCTGAACATAAAGAAACATCTGAAGCCTGAACAGGTTACTTTCTGGAACCAGTACATCCCTAGTTTACTGAATGTTAAAGAATGTCCAATTACAAAGGTACAGTTCTGTTAACTTCTAATTTTCTCTTTATTTCAGTTGAAATTGTTGCAATAACTGAAGACAGCAGGATAGCTGAAATGAAGATGGATTTTTCAGACGTAATGGGATTGAGACCAGTTCTATTACGGAATATTGAATGAATAGACCTGAATGTAGCAGGAAGACTAATAGAATGGGAATGTCTTATATTGAAATAGGATTTCAGACATTAAAGCAGTTGGTCACTGGCTCAACCCTAAACAAAATTTCCCATGGTGTAAAAATCATACCCAGGACAATGATTTTTATGGATCCCTCATGTTTTGATTGTGCCTTCTTACATTCAGGAACAATTAAACAACCTGGGTTCATGAATAGCCCATTTATGCTTGAAGGTTCTTCAATGAAGAAGACTGTGGCTCATCATCATCACCATCATCAGATTGGTGTCTACATTTCTTGCCAATGAAATAGTTTTTTGGCATTAGTACTCTCAAGGGAATGTTGGTACACGCCCATAACTCATTAACTTTTAAGTACTATTGACAGTTTTACAATTTCACCACAGAAATTTAATGGTCAGGATAAATCATTCAACTGTATATACTCATTGCCATCTCTTGATTAGTATATCCAAGATATCACTCACTGGATTTTTTGGATAGAATCCCTACAGCGTGGAAATAGGCCATTCGGCCCAAGAACACCAACCCTCTGAAGAGCATCCCACCCAGACCCATCCCCCTACCCTGTCCCTCTAACCCTGCATCTCCCATGGCTAACACACCTAACCCACATATCCCTGAACACCATGGGTAACTTAGCATGGCCAATCCACCTAACTTACACATTTTTGGACTATAAAGAAATCCACACAGACACAGGGAGAATGTGCAAACTCCACACAGACAGTTGCCCAAGGCTGAAATCAAACCTGGGTCCCTGGTGCTGTGAAGCAGCAGTGCTAAACCACTGAGCCATGAATGTAAGACAGGTGAACCAATTTCCAAGAAGTTGGAAATCACCTGTAAAGCAGTAAGAGTGCCCTCTTCTACCCAGGAATGGTAGACGCTCACTATAATGCCTGTTGGAGCTATTCAGTTCCAGTGTTTGAAGGTTTCACAGTCTGTTAGTTTCAGCAAAGAATCATGCCCTGCTGTTGTCTCACCTGGTTGATCCTGGCAAGCTTCACACAGATCAGAAAACCCATGCACCGGTTGTTAGAGGCAGAATGCTGGTTAAATCCTCACATGACATAAAATGCTTAGCACACAAAATGTAGGCTGGGCCATTTGAGGTAAAAAGCACCCACGGAGAATGCTTTGCATGTCTTTGTGTAGGGAATAAGGTGAGCTGCTTAAGACTGGAGATGACTGGAGAATTGTAGTTCATTGGCCAACAAGTTGCCATCAATTATCATTTTGTTAAAGGTCAGTTACAGTGATAGTCCCCATTTCATTCTTCATCAACTCTCAACTACACAAATAAAGTGTTGTTTATTTATGCAGCTACCTTTACGCTGCTAATAGGCAAGTACTCAAACAGAATCCTAATGCATAGCCACTTTTGCTTTGTGGATTCTAGTCCATTCATATTTGATTCAATCATCACTCCAAAGCTGTTTCTTAACCACCATTTAGGACTTTTTCCAATTCATTGGACTTCACTTCAAATTTGTGGAAGTTGAAGATTTACAGTCTGCTTGTTGTATTGAGTTTTATTATTTGTACTTGTACTGAAATGATCTTCATATCAATCCTCTGTAGAACAATAATTACCACTAAAGACCACAGTAAATGAAATGACAGTAAAATCCCAATCCATCAGATGCTAGGGCATTCACCTACACACGTGTTAAGCAGAGGTTCAAGATAGAGGAAAGGGCCTCCATATGACCCAATTTGCCTACAAACACACTCTATGTTTTAAAAAGTCCCAAATGAAAGCATACTGAAGCAGTACAGAGTGAAAAATATCTTTTTTTTTCAATTTGTTCACATGTTACAATGGCATGACCTTCTAAAAGACATTGAAAAGTGTTGGGAGTTAGCTCTGCAGAGAAACTCAATAATCTTTTTCTGCTCAGTGTGCTATCTTCAGACAAGTATGATATAGTCTGTAATTGTGTCAATGCAATTTTTAATGTTTTTGTGCTGTACAATAAAATCCCAGAGCATCTCTACAACCTTAGCAGCTCTGGCTCGGGAAACAGATGAACAACAAGTTGGGTATTCATCAGATTCTTCATGGTCACCAGCATCATTAGACTCCTCAGTTGCCAACCAGACTGCATATACAATTGCCTCACCTGTCAGGCTATTGTACATTCGATGGTGTAGCCCACTATAGCATAGGTTTCCATGGTCATCTCTGCTGTAATTTTCATTCCAGACTCCCACAGGCAAGCCCAAAAGAGGCTTATTGTTGGATCAGTGACCCTCACCCTGTTTGCTTTTCTTCTTTTGATACATTTTGTCCACTTTCCTGAAAAATGCCTCAAAATTGCTGGATTCTTCCAATTGTTTCCGCTAGCGTCATACTGCGTGAGCAGTGTCTTGGCATTCATGAAGCAATGTGGCCTCTTGGATTGGTCTATCACAAGGAGCAGCAGGATTTTCAGTGGCATCCATGGTTAGTGCGCACTATAGCAGTGACATATTTGTTGTTCGGTTTTCCACCATTGCCCATGTCACCTTTAAACATCATCTGGCAAAAGACAGTAAAGCAATCCCATTTTATCATTCAAGATATGGGCAAGGTAAAACAAGGAACTGTGGATGCTTGAGATCTGAAACAAACATAAACAGAAATTGCTGGAGAAACCTAGCAGGTCTGGCAGCAACTGTGGAGACAAAACGGAGTTAAAATTTCGAGTTCAGTGACGTCAGGCAAAGGGTCGCTGGACTCAATACATTAACTCTGTTTATCTCTGCACAGATATTGCCAGACTTGCTCAGTTTCTCCAGAACTTTATATTTTTGTGATGGACTATCTTGTTGTTTGAGAATTGGTTTCAGAAGACGGTGACTTTTTTAAAGTGATAAGTGGAAATGGTCTGTCTAGGATAAAGTAATGAGAGATGTTCCTTGGGAACCATATTTGGGACCATTATTCATATGGGGCATTAATTTAGAATAAATGGGGAGTAGAAAATTAATGCTGGATAACCAAATATGCACTCTGAATGCAGGTGACTTTAGAGCACTTCCTCATTTTTAATTGTTTTATTTTCATTCTCATATCAATTTTGTATTATGAGCTGTAAATGACTGGTGTATATTGGGACTGATTAAGTTGAAAGGAAACAAACAGCCCAAATAAGCTTTGTTTGTTTGTGAGACCAAACCTGGACACTAATTGTAAACTGGGCCTTGATCAAAAAGGTTGTGACAGACATAGCGAACCCTGGAAAGGGCATTGTGTTTGAACAGATACCAGGAGTTGGCTATTAACGAGGTGAGTACCTGTGAGTTAGTTCCTGAACTCTGGAGGAGACCCAATGATCAAACAGATGACAGTTGTTGATTGGTGATTGAGGTCTTGGCTGGGTGGGGGGGGGGGTGGGGTGGGGGTGTGTGGTGCGGAGGTAAGGTTGATCAATGTATCAGGATGAAACCAGAATTCAAATTTTTGCATCACGTTTTCTGAGAGATGGTTCTGGGCTGCTGCTGAGACAGCATAACGATTTGAAGGCTCCCTGCCCAATCTGATACAGCAACACCCAGAAGTCCAAAGAACAGAAAGAGGTGTTAGAAACATTGCTGCCTTTGCCTGGGTGAATTGAAAAGTAACCCTCGTCAAAGTTTCAGAAAAGCAACCAAGGAATCCACATTTATGCCTGTGAAACAACGCATTGTGAAATACATTTAAGTAATCAGGCCAGTTTTGGTATTTTCTTTTATTTATCCCTAAACTGTGTTTGTTTGCCTGTCTGGGTTTTGTGTGAATGAGGCTGAATACAAATGCCTCAGGTTTAAAGCACAGATGTTAATCAGCTTACCATGTTTAATGTTGTGCTTGCTAAAGTTACCTTGTAATTAATAAATTGTTCAATATTTTGTTTAAGACACAAAGCTGGGCTATGGAAATTAATTATTCGTAAAGTCTGGAATTTGTTATTCAAATGTCTGGTTAGGAACCATTGGAGTGACTATTTGGCGGTCTTCGACTGTTTAATTTTCCTGTGTTGCAAATACTTAGGTAAAAAGGCAGATCTGGCTGCACTGTTTGTCTCCATGTTGTAACAATAAACACAATAGGATTTCTTGTTTCAGTATTTCTCACACTCTATTTTTGCTTTGCCAGCCTCTCATAGATCCACTTGTTCAGACCCAGAATGGTCTTCTGCGTGGCATCAGAGTTCAGCAAAACAATAGAATAACAGACATTTTCCAAGGAATTCCTTATGCACAGCCACCTATTGGGGAACTTCGTTTCCAAAAGCCAAGACCATTAAAGCCATGGAAAGGTATTAAGCATGCAAGAAAATATGGAAATATTTGCATGCAGGACCAGGTGTTTGTGAAGGATGTCCATGGTGACGAGGATTGCCTCTTCCTGAACATATGGATACCTAATGGTGTTCAAGGTAGTGTATGGAAATTTCACAATGTTTCTGTTACATTTCAGGAGTGAAAGAAAGGTATTAGAGGCGAGGTTAAGTAATTTTATTTGAGAATTATTTAATTTCTTACGTGCTTACTCCAGAATTTGAATATTTTGATGTGTATTAATTTTAATAATGGGGAACTAGAATCCTATTAGTTGGACTTATACAATTCAATGAACAAAATGCTCTCATAAACAGGATCATGCCAAGTCATTGGATTAGTTTGACAACATTTGTGTTGGGTGCTTTTTAATAATTCATAGTGTTTCCACTGTGTCGAACAATCATTTTTCATTTAGACACAATCAGATATTTGGATCAACCAGAATATATGAGATGTTTAAGCTTTTTGCCCTACAAATAAATAACACTCATTGGCAACCTCAGTGAAAAAAAAAGAAAATTGTCACTCACCTCATAGTGTATACAAATTTGAGGTGGTCACTAAGAAATTAGCACTGCACGCAGCAATCTTAGAAGTTTATAGGATTCTTATGGGACATTGCACTGCTCCCAAGCAT